GACTAAATTATGATGAGAAAAATGCTTGGTCCGTGTTCTTGATATTATATGATAATATCCAGGTTTAACAAACTTCTGATTATTATAATCAAATTAAATTAGCTATTTTAACTCTTGAAATCTTGAGTGTATACAAAATGATTACAAACTCTTGGAAATATCGTTATATACTTGTTTCATCTTATTTCATTGCATATAAAACATGTATTACTGTGATTGCATTAAAATCTCTTTCTGTCATAAACTTAATATTAAATGCTGCTGGTCATTTTGACATTTCAAAGTTGGATATGATGTAAATTTTGATGTTGAAAATACAGTGATTTATAAAATTATGCTTTGTTTTAATTTCTGATCCAATCAATTCAATTTGATCTATGCAATTTATTTTTTATCACTAGTAAAATGTAAACCAATAATATTCATACTACTAAAATAAGTTAAACATTAGTTGGATATGATGATTATTTTTTATTGATAAAACAATTATGATTACTTTAATAAATTGCTTTGTTTTAATTCTAGATCCAATAGATTTTATACCAAGCTAAATTATTTGTCCTGCTATTTTATGATTGAATATATTTAATAAATAGTAAATACGTTTTTAGAACAAGCTAAGTCCATATTATAATTATATAATACAAAATTATTTTGTATGTTCAATTAAAATTTTTTGTGGAGTAGTGTATGAAGTTGGAAATGACGATAATATTTTAGTAGATAATGATGATCTTTAAAAAAATGCTTTGTTTTAATTCCTGATCCAACTACTTAAAATTAATTAATATCAATTAGTATTTTGTATAACAAGAGAAGAAATTAAATTAATATTAATAATGTTTTAACCGTTTAATTTTTAGGACTGGATCAGAGCGTCGCACTCGTAAATTGAACCCATTGAGACATGTACGTACCATGCTTCGATTGAATCCTTACATCGCAGTTCAAAAACGTGTTGCAAGCAATGAAAACAAATTAAGAACACTGGCTCGTGAAACTTACTTGGCCAAGAAAGAAGGTGTAAGTAAAACATTCATACTATTATATAACTATGTAGGCATACAAATGGTTAATTTTGTTAATACTTTTAGAGACCAACCACTGAGAAGGGTGAAAAAGTATTGAAACGTTTCATCAATGAAAAGAAAATGTTGCGTGCTGCCAAAATCAAGGCCAAGAAGGTTATTGCTGTCAAGGGCTTACGTGAAATTCATGAAAAGAAATTGGAAGCGTATAGAAAGCGACTTGCTGCACGTGGTGGTGCTCCGCCTACCAAGAGGTGCAAGAAACAATTACCCAAGCCAAAACCTAAGGCTGAGGTTAAAAAACCTGCACCCACTACCAAGGCTGCACCAAAAGCAAAATCGACCGGTAAAGCTAAGGCATAATTGGACTAATAAACAAAATTATTATAAAGGCTGTTGTTTTTATTTCTCTGTTTAGTTTTTCCTTATGTATTTATTCATATTATTCAAAAATTGTCTTCCTATGTATTAAAGATAACATGCATCTTGATTGAGATTTTTAGATCAATTAGTATGCACTATACAGTGTATTGGATATTTCCAATGTTGGAACAATGAACTAAATCCCTGTTCTTAGTGTATGACCGTCTATAGCAGTGTTCCCAACTGGTGGTCTGTGGTGCCATAAATTGTCACTTAATTTTTTTTTTTAAATAGTGAAAAACATTAGAGACTTATTGAGGAACCATATTATACTTGTTATTATGCAAAAAAAAGGTCTTCCTAGTTTTGGTAAAGTTGAGGTTGTCTGCGACCTATAAAATATTGTCGAAGTGGTCCTTGGTAGTA